GAGAGTTAGCTTCAAATGTTTCTAGCAACTTTGTGTACCTAAATGCACCAATGAGAATTCAAGAAATAATAAATAATTAAATAAACCATTTAAGGGTATTTTGGACCTTTTGTACTTTTAATTAACGAAATCATTTAATTCAAATCCTGTAATTAAGGAAATAATATATATATATATATATATATATATATATATATATATATATATATATATTTGACCTAGTGATGTGTGTGGTCGAACACGTTCATCATCGACATCATCACCATCACCAAGTTCAGTTTATCATTGCTCGTCTGATCTTAATTCATCACTTGTGGCGTTCTTCATCAATTCACTGATTATCGATTTTTGAAGCCAAAATCGCTATTTGGGTAATCGATTCAAGCCTCTTATGAGTCACGATTCTCTTGCTGTCGATTCAAGCCAAAATCGTTATTTGAGTTTTTTTGACTTCGTTTATTGATCATGGCTAGGCGACATGGATGGGAACTTCCTGCTCACACTTTTCAGGTACGATTTTTGTGCTTAATTCGCTACTTCGATCTGCTACGTGTTTGTGTTTTCCCTACAATCTTTCAAGCTCTCTGTGTATTTATCCTTTATGTAAGATGCACAGCTATCGATCATGCTGATCCTGGCATTCTAATTGACCCAAACAAGGAAATTGCATCACCTTACAGATCCCATAATGGAACCGAAGTACGATCCAAATTGTTTTGACTTTTGACCCACCCGTTGACCGACCCACCCGTTTTGTAATCTTTGAAGCAATTTTTTTTTTGGGTATCAGGAAATGGATCATCTGGGAGAAGCTAGCAAGATTGGGTTTCAGAATTTTGGAATATATGATAATGGTAGCTCAGGTTGTTGTTCAAAAGTTTGGGGATTCTTTTGTGGTTGTATTGTAATAGAGGATTGTAGAAAATATGAAGATATGTAACAAGGAGGGTAGGAAGAAGCTTTATTTTGTACACTATGCAATGTTGAGGTATCTATTTTCTGTAAAAAAAATCATTTTTTATTAAACTTTATTCGATTTCTGAAGTCGTATTTTGTATACTCAACTTCTTATGATATGATTGTTGATTTTCTGGACAAATTATTTAAAATCTTGTTTTTAATTTGTTATAGGTTCGAAAGTATAGCAAACACTGCAGAAGTTGTGATAAATGTGTTGATGGGTTTGATCATCATTGTAGGGTAAGATCCAAATTCCAAAATGAAAGAAATGGAAACACACAGATGAAAAATCTTCTAGAATTTTTTTCATTGTTTATATGTAAATTCACATGACTTAATTTTAATTCTAAATTATTTCTTGTGGAGTGGTTGAATAATTGTGTAGGGAGGAAAATTTACTTCACATTCGTGTGCCTAATGGCTGTAAGTGTTGTTTGGGTAAGTTGATTATCGAAAATTGTCATTTTGATATTTAATCTATCAAAAGTAATATAAAAGATTGTATTATGCATTTCTAAATATTTTATTATAATTTAATGTCAACTATGAATGAAATTGTGTGTATTCTGTCAGAATTTATTTATATAAATCTATTCTTTTATAATGTTTGTATTCTAGCAGAATGTGGTAGAATGTATTCCGCCAGAATGTATAAAATGAATCTTAGCAACATTATTCTTTCAGAATGAGTTAGTGTTTTTTGTTGGATTTTGATACTTTTGTTGCATTTGTGATAGGAATGGCTTGAAGACCTTATAGGAATGACGTGAAGAATGAATCGAAGATTGATCACACTCATAGTTTAAGAATGTTGTTGTTTTTTAAGAATCACACTTGCTATTCTTTCATAATGTTGTTATTATTCAAGAATGTTCTTTTTGTATCACGATCATAGAATATAATTATTTGATATATTATTAGTTCAAGAATCGATTTTGTATATTGTTTCATAATGTACTTATTCATGTTTTCTTCTTATTTATATATTCTTAAAAGTTTTCATAAACTGTTATTCTAACAGAATGTCATTATAACAAAATTTAATTCTAATAGAATCTCATTCTGTCATAATAAAATAAGTTATAATCGGTTATGATTACAAATTAAATTAGAATTGAAATTGAATTAATTTTAAAAAAAATCAGAATTATCCCTTTAATTTCGAAATTTTCCTTTTTTAAATATAGTTAATTGTCCAAAATACCCTTTTAATTAAATTTGAGTGATTATATGGTATATGTTACCCTATTCTAATATCGTAGACCCTCAGATCATGACCATTGATTTTATTCATCTATTGGTGCAGAATTGTGCTTAGGGGCACACAATAGATGTAGGAAACAAAATAATCTAGCCCTATATATATATATATATATATATATATATATATATATATATATATATATATATATCCAGACTCTTTTGAGAACCAAAAATTTATGAGAACTTGCGAACTCATAATCAGCTCATCATTTTCAACACCAAAAACATCAATCTTCTCCAAATGGTGCGACTAAGCCATATATAGGTTCAAAAAAAAAAGATTTGATGGTTTTTTTTGTTGTTTTGTATGAATGCTGATGAGCACAATCAACAGTCATATGGACTGCTGATGAGCACAATCAACAATCATATGGACTGTTGATTGCTCATCAATAGTCCATATGGCTGTTGATTGTACCTACTTGCAAATTTCGAAAAAAAATTGTCAAATCTTTTTTTGAGCGTGGATATGACTTAAGCATCATTTGGAGAAGATTAGTGTTTTTGGTTTTGAAAAATGATGAGTTAATTATGAGTTTACAAATTCACACGTTTTTTTTAGTTCTCACAATAACTCATATATATATATATATATATATATATATATATATATATATATATATATATATCTATATATATATATATATATATATCTATATATATATATATATATATATATATATCTATGAAAGAGGTGGGTTCTCGATTTAATTTGATGCAACAAAAATTACTGTTTTTTGGAGAAGATAAAGTTTTAAAGCAATCAAGTTTCAGACTTTCGGTTTAAGTTTTTGTTTTGAATAAGGTATGAAAAAGACACGAACAATTATCACACATAGTGGAAGCGTTTTCAAATTTTATCATGTAAATCATCCTTTCAAACAATACAGGAACCTCATAATCTTAGGCTTACACGATTATGGGCAATTATAACCCTTCTCCTCATTGCAGTGAGGATATTTATCGAACGAGAATCATAATCAAAATCAAGTTTGAAGAAATTTGAATCGCTATGATATCACATGTTGGATTTATGAGTATAATCACAAGATCAATTTAGTATAAACCTGATAACTTAAATTTTAATGAGGAACACTTTTTTGGAGAAGATGATATCCCCTTGATCTTGAAGATGATAATTCACGATTCATTTTTATTTCTCGTAATGATGTCTTATTGATCAATTCAAATGAGTGGATAACATATATGTGATTGTGGTGTTTTTATAGAAATGAAGACTTTATGTTAGGAGCAAATGAATCAATTGATATTCCTCTCACAAGTTTATTTCATAATTATGTGTTTAATTTATCAATTCCATCTTATGTGTAAGTTATAGAACCATATAGATTTAGTCTCTTAAGTTATAGACAAAATGTCATATGCATCATACATATGCTTTAAGTGTAGGGATTTGTTATGTTATTATGACAAATTGTTATGTTATTATGACAAATGTTACGATACATAATAAAATTGTATCCGACTGATAAAAACATTATAAAATAGTTTGATAATCACATTAACGAGTTATTTTCCGACATTATAAATTGAATGGATGGATTAGTTGCATCACTCATGTTATATAATATAATTGTACCCAACTGATAAAAACATTACAAAATAGTCGGATGAACACGTTAAGGGGTTATTTTTCTATCACTATAAATTAACTCAGTGGATTAGCCGCATCACTCATGTTATATATTAATTTGTTTCACTTTCTAACTTTTTTATAATCTTTATAAATTTTATTTTTCCCAAAAAGATTAAAATAAAAAATAAACAGCTAACTAATTTTTGACATTTAAAATGTAAATTAAAAATTTATTTTAACCCATTATTTGATAGCAGTTTCGATTTTCGAATGAAGTAAGGTGTCCCAAGCTCACGACTACCACCCAGCCTTATCCAATCCGTATCCTCCTCCATTACAAGCAGCAGCATATCCTCTCCCATGGTTCCCTTTTGATTCCTCCTGCTCTACCCACCCCTCCATCTCCACCACTACCACTGCCTCCATTATCCGAACGAAAATGGCGTCTGCAGCATCAGCAACATTTCGCCTCACTCAGCCTTCTTCGTCTTCTTCTTCTCCCAGACCAAAACCTCATTTCACCCTCCCCTACAAACCCTACGCTTTTTCACCTATTCCCAAATACCCAAAACTCCAAATCGCTTCGAAGTCCATTGATGTCTCCAAAGAAGACAAACCCATCTTAGATCCGCCAACAGAACCGGTAGAGACCACAGAAGAATTCGATAAACGCAGACTAGAAGAGAAATTCGCAGTCCTAAACACCGGAATTTACGAGTGCCGGTCGTGTGGATACTTGTACAACGAAGCCGCCGGAGATCCATCATACCCGATCGCACCTGGTTTGCCGTTCGATAAATTGCCGGACGATTGGAGGTGTCCGACATGTGGCGCTGCGCAGACGTTCTTTCAGAGTAAGAGTGTGGAGATTGCGGGGTTCGCTCAGAATCAGCAGTTTGGTTTAGGGGGTAACACGCTCACCTCCGGCCAGAAGGCGATTCTTATCTACGGTAGCCTTTTCTTCTTCTTTGTGTTGTTCTTGTCTGGTTATTTTCTTCAATGAAACACATATATGGTGGTGGTAACTGGTAACGGTATAGTTTTAAAGAATTTTTGTAATCTGTATACCCTTCTCATATAAGTTCTGAATCCATTGTTCAGAGGTGAATGCAAAATCTTTTGAAGGTGAATATATATATATATATATATATATATATATATATATATATATATATATATATATATAAAGAGATGTGGGTAGGATTTTTTTTTTTTTTTGAGTTTCTTGATTATTGATATGATTGTTGATATCTGTTTCTTCAATTTCTCGATTCAAGAATATGTATGATGGATATTAATGCAACAAACTGTGTTTTAGATAATAAAAATCTCCTCAAGCCACCAACATTTGCCTTTAATTGGATTGATTGTAGGGCTATGGTGAAAATAAACTAGAAACTATCCTACATTTCCACTAGACATGACTTTCGAGCATTCTAGGGCTATTTCCGAACATTATGACAAGGAGGGTGACGATTCACAATATTCACGATAGTTTGAGAGCAAGTACATGTCTCTCACTTTGTTCCATCATTTTGAGCAACAATTTTTTAAAGTTTGTGTCATTTACATCCGACTCAGTCTAAACTGTCTTGGACTTGAACACACATTAGTTTGGGCTAAAGCAAGGAGTTTGTGAGGCTTGTATTGCATCTGTTTGTACTTAAGTACTTCTATTGCATCATTGCATGGACAATGTGTAGTTCATGATAATAAATAATATATCTTGCGACATTTGCATGACTATGTGGCTTGCATCATAGTTACCAGAAATGTCCAACTAGTGTCGTCCCACGTACCGAAACGGCCTGTACCCAATCGAAGCGAAAGCGGTCCGGTACGTGAAATATTAGCGAACCTCAAATTGGATACAATCGATCCCAATCGCGATCCCAATCGATCCTAATAGCGAACCCAATCGATCCTAATAGCGTTCCTGGAGTCAAAATCGGGCGTACCTGGAGTCAAAATCGATCGTACCTGAAGTCGATTTTATTGCTTCCGATCGGATTTTATGCGTCGATGACATGGCGATTTGGGCGGGAGATAAGCCGCGCTTTACACTGTCTGTTCGATTTCTCCAATCGTCGTGTTCGATTTCTCCAATCGTCGACTCTAGATACGATGGATCGATGTTTAGTTTTCTTAATGTTAATTGCACACTGTAAATTGCAAGTCTTTGAGATCAGTATATATAGACCTTGTATTGGACACCCAAAATCAAACTCAATTTCGATTACAGCTTTCTATCTTCAATATCTGCACTTAATTTTGCTATTTCTAATTTTCTATTTTCCATTACAAATTGTGTATCCGATATTCCGATTGTGAAGAATGGCATTTGGAAGAAAAAAAAGAGTCTCAGCTAACTCATTCAGACAGTGAAACAGAAGGCACTCACATTAGTGAGACCCAAGAGCAAACAACAATTCATATTGATGATGAGGTTCAACAAACAGCCCCAAAAAACAATGTTGAGAAAGATCCAAGAAAACCACTCCATGAAGAAGTTACGTATGAAGAAGTTCAAGGAAACAACAAGAATAGTGGAGGTTCTAAATGTTGGACCTGTACCCACTGTAAAGGCAAATATACAAGCTCTTATACTCGAATCCATGTTCACTTTTTTGGACCTCCTGTGGGGAAAACAATTGAGATCAAAAGGTGTCCGGTTCTTGTTAAAAGTAACCCGTATTATGACATTCTATATAATAGGGTGAAAGAAGCGGAAAAGAAAGGTGTTGCTGCCAAATCATTGAAGAACTCGTTGCTCTCAAAAAACTCAGCTTCAAAAAGTAGGATTGAAGATGCATTTAAGATGCTCGAGAGAGAGGAGGTTGACATGAAGATAGTTCGAGGCTTGTGTGCTAATGGGATTCCGTTTAATGTGTTAGGGAACCCACAATTCCTTGAAATGATTCAAGCTATTAAGAAAGCATCGGAAGGTTACAAACCACCATCATATGAAAAAGCTAGAACTCCGTTGCTTGATCAATGTGTGAGAGAAGTGGGCAAGGAACTTGATCCCGTCAAAGACACGTGGTTAACACAAGGAGTATCCGTTATCTCGGATGGTTGGTCGAATGTAAAAAATGAACCACTTATAAATGTTATTGCACAAAATTCACGTGGTGCAACTTTTATGTACGCGGAGACCTTTTCAGGGATTGAGAAGACGGGGGTGGAGATTGCTAAGTTTCTTCGACAAGCTATAGAGGAGATTGGTCCAAGTAGTGTTATTCAAGTTGTAACCGATAATGCGGCGAATTGCAAGGCGGCTGGACGGGAAATACAGAAGGTATATAAACATATTTTCTGGTCCCCTTGTTGTGTACATTCTTTAAATTTGATTTTTAAAGACATGGCAAAGCAATTTGATTGGCAGTCCGACACGTATAACAGAGGGAAGGGTATTGTCACGTTTTTTTTAAACCACACACACGCCTTAGCTTTCTTTAGAGACAACTCGAAATTGCAATTGTTAAAGGTTGCACAAACACGATTTGCATCGCATTACATATTTGTTGAAAAGACTAACCGAGTGTAGGGAAGCACTTGCTACTACTATTGTCGTAAACTCGTGGCAGGAATGGGTCAACAAGGCGGATGAGCACACTAGGGTACTTGCTAATAAAGTGGCAGATACAATTAAAGATGAAGATTTTTGGGATGATATTGCTCACATTTTGGCTGTCACAAAACCTATCTTTTACATGGTAAAGTTTTGTGATGGTGAAGGTCCAAAAATGGCAGAAATATATGAACGAATGGACAATATGATGGGTCAAATCAAAGAGGCTATGACTATGAGGGACAATAAATTCTCAATGTATTACAATAAAGTTGAAGAAATTGTGCTCGAAAGGTGGGACAAGATGACTATCCCCCTCTATTGTTTAGGATTTGCTTTAAATCCTAAATATTATGACAAACATTATCTTTCAAAGTTGGCACCAGGAGGCATGAAAAGAAATCCTCCTAACGAAGACAGAGAAGTTATTGTTGGTGTTTTGAAAGCATTTGAAAAAATTTCGGAGAGTGAAGAAGAAGAAAAGCAGTTGAGAGAGCAATTTGCAACCTTTCACATGAAGAAAGGAATCTATTCATTGGCGGGGACGCAAGCCGACGCGGTGACTATGGACGCGATTGATTGGTGGGGAACATATGGAGCCGAGACTCCGGATTTGGCGGACGTGGCAAAACGAATCCTCTCGCAGCCGATTAGTAGCTCTTCGGCTGAGAGGAATTAGAGTACATACTCTCATATACATAGCATCAAAAGGAATCGTTTAAATGGCCCAAGAGCGGATAAACTTGTGTATATTCACTCTAATATTAGACTTTTGTCCCGGTTTTCAGAATCTTACAAAGCCGGACCCAACAAAAAATGGGACATCAATCCGGAAAGTGATCACATTGAATGTTCAAGTGCTCGTCTAGAGGAAATGGTGTGGGAGAACCTTGATGATAAAGGCATGGAGAATGAAAGAGGAAAAAGGCAGCGGATAAACTAGATTATGGTATTTTAATATTTTTGTTATTAAGTATTATGATGAAGTAATTGTGGTATTTCTTTTGTTCCTGTTTTGGTAATTGGTACTTTTGTTATTAAGTATTTTATGTTTGAACTTTGAAGTGTTAAATTGTTAAGTAATAGTATACATATATTTTATGAAGTAATTGTGGTATTTCTTTTGTTCCTGTATCGGACTATACAATACACTGTACCGGTTCGTACCGAAATGAGCCTACCCCCCCCCCCCCCCCCCCGGTTACCCGATATGCTAAATGTCGCGAACCCCATACCGTACCGCGTTTCTGGTAACTATGGCTTGCATTAAGAGGCAGTGACAAAACCATCACTACTACAATGTGCTTCATAAAAATTCGGTGTTGAAACCGGATTTCATAAATCTTTGTCGGGTGCTTAAAAGAATCTAAGGGTTTTTTTTTTTGAATTATTTTTGATTGGCCTCTCACCATCATCTATCAAAGGGCTCTATAAATTAGTTCTAATTCTTCAACGATAAAAAAACGATTCATAATAAATCGATTATGGTTTTTTCATGCAACTTTTTGATTTTCAATTTCTGATGTCAATCTTTCTTAATACATCGATTCCTGATAATATGATTTCAACCATCCTTCAAAAAAACTGATCATGTATTTGTGTTAATCTGATTTCAGGCAGTCTCATCGATTCTGCTTTCTGATCTCTGATTCATGTTAATCTAATTTTTAATTTGTGTAAATTGTTAGATTTTGTTATTGTTCTTCACTTATTGCATGTTAGTTTTCTGATAAAAAGTTAATTTTTGTGTTTCCTTTCTGATTTATTTATAGATAACTTGAAACTTCAACATCACAGGTTTTGAAATCCTTGTTGCTAGAGTCCAAAAAACCATTCACAAATCGTTATCTTTGTTGCTAGAAACGATCCAACATCACAAGTTCACAAATAAGTGTTTTCGTTTTCCTTTGCTCATTTTTTTTCTTATTGTTTTATAAGTTTAAAATAATATATTTTCTACAAAATATTTATATGATAGTGAGAAAAAAAACAACCAAACAACTAATACTATTACAAACACGATCCAAGGGTAAATTTATAACATGTGTCCATTTAAAAAAAAAAAGCAAAAAAGCCGTCATCTTTTACTATTTTTTTATTGCAAGGGCCTTCCATTTTTTTTTATTTTGTCCAGGATCTCAAATCAGTTTGGACCTCCATGCTCTTGAGTTAACAAATGTTTCCTCCATTCCACCCGTGTGATCCTTAGTCCAACATAAAAACTCAATACGGGAGGGAGATAAGGGCTTGATCGCTTCAACCAAAGGATATATGTGAAAACAAGATCTTCAACAAAATTAAACGACACCACCATTTTGTAATCGATTTTCAGGTTTTTGGCAGAGAGAAGATGGCCAAATGTCTGGTCAAAATAATATTTTATGATAAAAAATATAAGTTTTATGATAAAAAAAAATGTACAAAAAAATATATAGAGACCAAATGTGTACACGGAATTATATCAAGTCATTAATGTATCCAAGTAGATGAAAGTACACAAATCCAGTAACAAACAGTTAAATAAAATAAAGTTGATAAATAATAAAAACAAATTAACTTACAATGTCAATGTCCTTACACAATTGCAGAAAGAGGTATATGCATATTCCCTTTTTCTATCCTTTTGACTAATCCTGTCGTATAAACCAAGAAGATATACAACAAACAACTACAACCTTCAAATGTCTCTAATAAAATCAAACAAACTATCCCCATTATATTCAAACAAACTATCCCCATTATATTCCTCCATTATTACCAGAAACAGAATCCTCCTGTGAAACTGAAACCCTACTCTTGATTTGATAAACCTTCTTTACATCTTTCTCATTTCCATTTCCATCCCCTCCCATGGCAGGTGAAGAAGAAGGTCTACTGATCCAAGTAGACGGCGGGGACGGGAGGTTGCCGGAGCTCTGTGGTGGTGCCCTAATCGGATACTGTCTGCTTCTGATTCCATTATTATCCATTGATAAACCAGCCATCCCATTACTTAAATCGTGGTATTGTTCTTGATATGTGTAATTATTATTATTATTATTCCCTTGTGGTCTGGAGAAACCGAATTTGGG